TCAGCCTCAAAAGAAAAGTGTTTGACCAATGCGTATTACCGGTCATGACCTATGGGGCGGAAACTATGACTTTAACCAAGACCACGGCTTCGAAACTGAGAGTGGCACAGAGACGAATGGAACGGTCTATGCTGGGAGTGACGTTGAGGGACCGAATAAGAAACGAAGATCTGCGAAGAAGGACGAGTATTACTGATGTTGTGGAACGCATAGCGGAACTAAAATGGAACTGGGCAGGCCATGTAGCGAGAATGCACGATTCACGATGGACGAGCAAAATTACAAATTGGAGGTCGAGAGCAGACAAACGCAGTAGAGGAAGACCACCTACACGTTGAGCCGACGACATCAGGCGTATCACTAAAAATTGGCAACAAAGAGCACAAAATCGTGAGGAATGGAGGAGTTTAAGGGAGGCCTATGTCCAGCAGTGGACGTGATAAATAGAGGCTGGATGATGATGATGATGATGAGATGTCTACGTCACTTTACGAAGAAAGATAACTTTATTAGACCAGCCACTAACGTTTGCTACACCTTCAGGGCCAGATGGTGCCCCATTCAACATATGATCCTTGAAATTTAGAGAACACAAACAGTGGGGCTACTTGGTTTCTTGCACAGCTTACAGCTGCTATGATCGTGACATTAATGCCTCTTTCTGCTGAACTACCTTTGATACCTTTGGTTTTGTACTCTGCTGCATCCTGTCTCAACGAGGCTTCAAATTGAACAGGCCGTGAAGGGACCTCTGCCAAAAGCCTGTGTCAAGTTGCTGTAAAATGTCGATACGACATGCTTGTTAAATACAGTTGCTCTTGCGAGACTTGCGAGACTTCAAAGAGAAAGTAAAACTTTTTACGAAAGTGTTGCAATCACGATTCCCCCGCCAACTTGTTCTTGTGACATGACTTTAAATAATTTTTTTTGTTGGTCTTGGCAAAATCATACGCAAGCTTTGGCAGCCTTTTCAGCGTCAGTCAATAATACATATGCGCCACCTTTTTAACATATTGGCAGAGATCTTTCTCTTCTTCAACCGTAAACACCCTCTTCCAATCATAATTTTGTTTTAAATCTTTGAACAAAAGTACAGACTAATTACCCAGACAGCACAAGACATCCCTGGGACGTCCATTTTATGCCATTTTAAGGTCCAAACGTCCCGGGACTTCTTTCGTTAAGGTCCAAACGTCCCAAATGACTTCATAAGGTCGTCCGAGAGACGTCCCATTAGGGATGTATTCTAGATGTTAATTGTGTCATTTTTTTACTCAAGCATATTTTTTACAAAATATATCTTCCTACTAAACTTTTCTTTAAAAAGTTATATTTAATTTTAAATACCATTAATTTATACGAAAACAGACAGAGGCCCCTTTTAGAGAAAAATCCTTATCCTATAGCTATGAGTTGTATCTCTAAAATTTTGTTCTGTAGTGGAGCTGAAATTTAAAAACTAGAAGATAAAAGAAGAATGTGGTTATGTTTTAACGACGCTTCTATAAATTTATCTCCTAGTATTTATGTTGCTTTTTAACGCATTTTTATTTTTAGCTAGCATTTTCGGAATCTTTCATTTCTCGAGTTATAATTATTGTTGTTATGGTTGTAATTACAATTAGTTTATTGCTTTCGATACTAGTTTATTGTTTGGTAATTTCTTATTATAGTCTTTAAGTAGGTATATAGGAATTTTATAGGTAATTGTTGTGGTTGTGGTGTGAGTTGCTACATTTGTAAAGTAAGTATGAGTAATGTACTTAAAAATAAATAAAAATCCCATTTATTTTTGCTTTTCATTTTATTAATTTTTTGTCAGTTCTCTTTAGGTCCTGTATACATCCTCATTTAGGTCCTGTATTAGTCCATGTGGACATACAATGGATGTCCCCAATACATCCTTCTTAGGTCCTATATAAGTCCGTATTAAGTTCTGTATATGTACTATGTACGTCCCCACGAACATCCCTGGGACGTACTTTTTGGTAACATTTAGATCTTATTGTACGTCCCGGGGACGTCCAAATTATGTAAACGGATGTCCGTGGGATGTCCGGACATTTAATGAGGTACATCCTTCGGACGTCCATGGGACGTACTTGTGCTGTCTGGGTAATTACTACGGAAATTTATGGGTTTCAGTATCAATCACGCTAGCCACTTGTTCCTGAGCTGAAACTTTTGGTAAGTAGCCTGTATAGACTATCGTTTTTTACTTACGTCAATATTTAACTAACCTCTAGGTATTACCACAAAATCCTTCTACTTTTTGGCATATTTTGCAATAGAGGACCTGAAATTTCAATATTTTTTCCAGCAGCGACCGATGATTTCCCATCAAGATGCTCCTTTATTGCAAGGTACATTGTCTGCGAACTTAGCTTACTTATTTTAATGCCAATCTTGCTCCTAGGCATAATATGTTGTATATGCTATGGACGTCTGCTGGTATGTCACTGTTTCCTTTCCGCATGTACAACAGCAGCCGTGATGTTGTAAATTACACTAATGTACATAATGTACACCAACGTTTATCGTTTTGTAGGCTCGAAACGACAAAGAATTAATAAAACATAAGTAGGGATACATATAAAGTATAATCTAAGTAAAATAAAAATAATTACTAACCTGGTAAAACGTTTCACAGCAAAAACAAAAAAATTAAATCAAAGTTTCTGTTAAGTTTTAACTGTTGTAAATTTATAGTCGTCTGCTTTGGACGTAGCATTACACAAATGCTACGCACTTGGCGGGAGATTTAAAAGTATTGATACTTTTGAGAAAAGTGTTACTTTTCAAAAATTTTTATAATAGTTGATGTCCATAATTTTTTTAAGTGTTAGGAGGTTCAATATTACGCATGTGTAAATGAGACCTTTATAAAGTATAATAAAACAAGGTATGACAAAATAAAATAATTTATTTTAATGAGAAAATACAAATTCACTAAAAAGTCACAGAAATACTGACTGACTATCTATTAATAAATTAACTAACAATTATAGAAATACAGGGTAATTGATTTAAAATATTTTATTTTTATATTGTTTGTGTCATTACCTATGTACCCCATTTTTCACGAAAACAATCAGTCAGTATTTATTTTACATTAGAAATATATTTCAGTATAAACAAGCTTCACTATTATAAAAACAAATAAATAAAAAACATTTTATTGTCAAAACAGTCCAACAAGACATTCGTCTTATCTTTGATCCTCATTATGCTCAAAAAATGTTTCAATCATTTCTAGAATTCAACGAAAAACAAAGAAAAGTAGGAAAAATTACTGAACGGGAACCAACCGTGTAAAGACCTAAAAGTCAGATGAAGGTAATATAAATACCACATTAGACCACTCCAAGTCAAAAAGTAGAAATAAATTTTACAGATGTGAATCACCGAAAAGATAATAACAATAAAAATGGGAAGCATTATGAGTTTATACATGTATGTTACGTTGGTTTCCGAATGAACTTGGACATCGAAACTATTAAATAATAAATGCATTAAACCAATCTGATTGATTTTAGTGCAATGTTCCGGTTATATTCGATGAATTCTTTTTTTTTGAAGACTGCTTTAAATCCTCGGGATTGCAATAACATCTAATGTAGATGAACTGGTTACAATAAATAAAACCAAACAATTGCCTTCATATGAAATATCTTATTTGGGATACAATACCACTTACTTAATTTCTCATAATAATGGTCAATATTAAGGGTTGTATAGGAGTTCAAGAATGTAAAAGGTTCTTAGAATAGAATAGAACGCAATAGTGGCAATTGTCAGGAGAAACTGATTACTGATGGGACAACTGGGAAATTAGATCAGAATATTTATTCGGTTTGATCGTATCAGAATAAATCAATAAATAAAATAGTTAAAAATTATGAGAAGTCTTTTATAATTCCATAAAAATTATTCTTAAAAATCCACATCAGATGTACTCAAGTTAAAAAAAAGGCGGTTTTTTTTATGTGGTTGTTATTATTTAGAGGGCCCGTCGTTAAAAAAGTTTATCCAAACTGTTCATTAGGCTGAGTCTGTAATTTCCCCGTAAATTTTCACCCGTCAGACAGCAAAATCGGAAAACAAGTTCCGCCAGACAATATGAAAAGTTGTTTTTGCTACTTTTAATGAAAGTATCCTGAAAAAATTAGATGGTTATCTATAAATTTCATCACAGTAGTTTTTCCGACATGTTCAGGTCGTCAGACTGTTGAATGAATAACCAATACCTATCATCAGACAATTGACGGATGAAATGTTACAGGAAAATTAATGGAAGAACGCCCCTGAACCAAAGGAAAGCCGTTTCATATTCGGCCTAATCAAGAAATACGTAAAGTTTGGATCATAAACATATTTGCCAACTGACACCCTAACTATTAAAACAGAAACCAAATTTGGTTAAGTAATGAGCAACCAAGATGTTAGCATTAAAAACATTCAAAATTTGTCTTAAAATCTAATTATAATTGTACATAACCGTTTCAACCTACCGCTAAATCTTAAGTCACCTAACCTCAATTTTGGGACGTTTTTCATACACATTTCAGTTGTTTAAATACAGAAACCAAAATAAAACCCTTTTCAGAACATTTGTTGCTCTAAAGTACATACATTCGTTAAATCAAATAGTTATTTTCGGTTTTTGGGCTTAACCGCCAATCAAAAACAATCGTTTAAGAGACAGCTTGTGCATACTTCTTCCCCAATAAGTCTAGAATGAACAATGCTATTGCATTCTGTCAGATCTTTCACACCAGCCACCATATTGTATAATGACCTGAGCAATATTGAGTCTAAATGTTTCAAGACATTATAGTCTTTGTCTATATTTCCTCTACTTTGGTTTTCGTATACAAACAACTGTTCTATAAAAATGTATAAAAAGTATAAATTAAGTCAACAAAAATCTATTTACAAAATATACCACAGTCATAAGAGAAAAATACTAATTATAAATTATATTTATGCATCGGTCAATGCTAGTCGATAGGCATGGCCCACGGGTGCTCGATGTGACCATACTGGATCGCTGAGAGGTAGTCCCTAAGTTTCCTGTAGATGGGGTTGTCCTGTTGCATGGTTGGGATGGGGATAGTTTCACCTAAGAACTCGATGGAGGCTACGGGCGTAACGATGCAGGCCGTTCCCGCACCAAACATTTCCAATAGCTGAAAAGTAAAATATAATCATTACCTTGTTGCTTTGTGTAAACCAGGTACAAATGTTCTAAAACTAAAGTTGGTAGTATCACTGCTTCTCTCTTTGAAAATTCAAAATTTGACAGTTGGTAGCGGATATTGTTGTTGTCTGTCAAATTGGTTGACATTTATTCAGTGTGTTTTGACAAATCACTATTGATAGATATAGCATACAACAATACGTGCAAATTAGATCAGATCAGATCTTCGTCTTGATGCACACATCATCTTTTCATTGGTTTTGAGAGTGCCTATGATAGTATCAATCGAGAATTTCTGATCCATGCACTGAAAGAGTTTAATATTCCAACTCAATTCATTGACATAGTAAAAGAAACACTTAAAGTACAAAGCAAACTTTGAATTCAAAACGAACTAACACATACAATCCATGTGAGAACGGACCTACGACAGGGAGATGCCCTATCCTGTATTCTATTCAACATCACATTGACAAATGCAAAATATACAAAAGCCTCATAAAACTGGTCCTTGTATATGGATCAGAGACATGGACACTGTCGAAAAGCGATGGGAAGCTATTAGGTACGATTGAACAAAAAATCCTTAGACACATATATAGGGGTGAAAGAAAATGACATATGGCGCAGAAGATATAATTTTGAACTATACACAGCATACAATGAACCCTAAGTAATAACATCCATAAAGATCGGACGTCTGCGCTGGATGGCCGGATGTTGGAGACTGAAATACCAAAACATATAATGAGGCAAACACCAGTAGAGAGGAAGTCAAAGAAAAGACCCAAACTTAGATACATGGAACAAGTGAAACAAGATCTGAAAACACTTAAGATTACCAACTGGAAAAACAAAGCAAGGAACAGAACATAATGGCGAAAAATCCTAAAACAAGCCAGGACCAAGAAAGGGTTGTCGAGCTACTGATGATGATGATGAACACGTGGAAATGGTACATCTGTTTTATCAAAATGGGTGTTTTATTCAGGCAATGGTCCGCGCGCTTCGCCTATTTTACGGTAGCCATAACCATCCTACCGAGATGTTGTAGTATGTTGGATAAATTTGAGTCCACTAGTTCAATAACCAATCAACTAACACCTGTTCAATCACGACGAAATGCAAGATCTGCAGAAAACATCGCCACTGACCATGAAAATGTGCCGGAGAATCCGACGCAGTCGGCTTCATATCGCTCACAAGAACTCGGCCTTTCACAAAACACAACATAACGAATTTTGCACCGTGACTTGGGCTTGTACTAGTACCAAATTTATCCGATTCAGGGGTTGAAGGTAAAGGACCATACACAAAGACGTGTGTTCGCTGAATGGGATCTTAACTCTAATTTTCATCTAAAACTCATTTTCAGCAATGAGTCTCCTTTTTGTATTAATAGGTACGCAAAAAAAACAGAATTCTCAAATTTGAGACGAAACTAATCTAGATGAGATCCAGGAGCGTCCAATACATTCCGAGAAAGACCATGTTTGGTGATGGCTACCAACATATTTTGGTCTGAATTGGATTAGATGGATACCAACGACATGTGGTTTCAACAGGAGGGTGCCGAGTGGCACACAGCTCATACAACATTAGACATTGTGGAGGCAATATAAATTAAGTAAGGACATTGTGTAATTTGGCACTGTTATATTCTTTCTTGTGGGGTTTTTTTAAATCGCAGGTTTATACAAATAAGCCACAACCATAGCGCCCACAAAGCATCGAGCAAAAAGACAAAAGAGGGAATGTGAAGGTAGTGGGAGCAAAAATATTGTTAGACAGGAAGTGCGATCTATAGAGGCCACTTTAAACAAGGAAAGAGAGTCCCTCTCCTTCTTTGACATCAAATTTAGTTGGGTTATGTTATTGTTTGTCCCAAATGTCACATGAAATCTTATTTATATTAAAATTTTTTAACAATTGTGTCGCATTTTAGACTATTACCGTTAATAATTAATTAAAACTTTCTCGTCTAAGACACATTCTGAAAAATATTATATAGCTACTGTTAATAAGTGTCGGAAAATTTAAATTTGGCGCATTCGCATTTCCGGATATGTCCGCCATCAGAGGCCACTTTTTTGGTCTCTTTTTCATAAGGATTAGATTCTCTCTCTTGTCTTTTTGCTCGATGCTACAAAGCCAACATAATCGATGCCATCGGTCAAATTTAGCCTGATCTATGTGCCACAATCATAGAAAATTGGATATTTCAGATGCTCGCTACCCAGTGATGTTGTAACCATGTTATATTTCATATATAATGGCATCGAGAAGCCTTTCAAATGAATAAAAAACTTACAAAATGGTTACATTTTCTCATGTTGAAGAACATTGACACATGTTGCAGGAGGCGCAATGGGTACGGGATGCTCAGGACCCGGTTCTTTCGTTGTATATTCGTGTCTGAATAAGGCTAACGAGATGTGTTTATTCATTAGACTTTGCTTTGTGTTTGTCTCTCGTGGATACTCGTCTGTTGCTTTGTCCTATATATTTTGGTCAAAAATTCCGCATAATTACTTTGTAATGGGACGGGTCTTAAGTAAATACAATATATCAACTGCTTACTTACTACTGAAAGTAATATAATGACAAGAACAGTAAGATGAGCCATAGAAATAGAAGAAAGTGAGACTCTCCAAATGGCAAATAAAGAACAAACAGAAATTCTGTTACAAACTGTTGCTTTGTATTCTCCAAAAGAAAAATGTAATAAACTTCTCATCTACAGTAATGCTTATAACGCGAATTTTTAGTACATATGTGTTTCCGTTTGTTGACCACGGACTGGCCTAGATAGATGTTGAGGTAGTTTCTTTTTATGGTTTTTGGCAGATACATATTTTAACAGGCTAAATTAATCTTCATTAGACGAATGTCATTATTTAACTACACGTACTTTTAGTAAATGCAAAAGTTTATAATGTTGTAATCTTGTACTTACCCTTCCTTGTTTTTGAAGAGCAACCAACTCCCTCATGGTGAGCATTCTCTCTTCGACTCTAAATTCTTTCCATTGTCGTCCCAAGGCAAGGCAGGAGTCCCTAGTAACTCCGGGAAGTATGAGATCATTTAAGGGTGGAGTTACCATTACTTTTTCTGAAATCGATGAAATCACATCTTATTTAAAATATTACAAACAAGTATGGTTTAGTGCACGTTTTATATACCCGGTATTGACAAATTTTGTTATCTTTTAACATTTAACTTTTTAGTTTTTCAGTAGAGTGTGTGGAAATATCTTAAAAACTAACACAGAAAACGAAAACCAAAATTAAGTGTGAGAAGCTTGGCCATGTGTTAGCATTTTTAATTTATACCTAGATATAAAAGGAATACGATAGTGTTTCTCTAAATAAGCTGTGGAAGGCAAGAAACGACTTAGTTAGATAATAACATGAACTTAATATTAGTTATAGAGAATGCATTATTAACAATTTCCAAAAAAATCATTAGTGAGGTGTTTACGACTACTAAAGGCCTACTCGTCTTATTAGTGTTGCCTTTCGTTGACACCATTCAAAATATTCTAAGAACAAGTTATGAATGAATGCAAAAAATGTATGACAATAGGATTGCCGCTCGACGAAAGTATTCTATATACCCTGAGCTAAGCAGACGATCAGTTATTTCGTAAAACCACGAAGATTTGAAATCTTTGACAATAATTTTGGTTAAAAAAATAAGAAATGGGAATTAAAGGTAAATCTGAAAAAGGCTGAATAATGTGTATTGGGGGACACCAACTAGATGATTAACTAGAAATCGATTTAATTAGAAAACTCTGGATGAAGCAATAAAAGACCGAAATACACTAGGAAAGAAAGTAATAATATTACTTAATACGGTACTATGGGATATAAATAGCAATCGACAAAATGACACAAGAATATACAAAATAGTATCATGTATCCATAGCTCCGTGGTATTGCCATTAAAAGATAATAACAATAATACTAAAGGCTATTGAAACGGGTTATTGGAGAAGGGAGGCAAGAAGGTAAAGACGACGAGAACGGTTCAGAAAAAGTTGGATATGTGGGATAGACACAGAAATAGGAGAGAGCGGCTTGGAAGGTACCGTTTGGAAAAACAAGGATGAATGATGATAAGGAATCGCTAATTATTGGAGCTACTGGAGCTAATTATAATAGGCTAACGCAAGGTTTTAGATTAAAACAAATTAAAAACAAAAAATTTTTACTTAGAGTGATCAAGTCAATCAGAAAAAGATAAAACACAAAATATTAATATATGTAGCGATGTCAGACACGAATCTCTGAGGTTAATATAAATCCACCAATGTAGAAAATATATACAAAAAGAAAATGATATTTATTAATAGATTATAGTTGAACCAACTGACATCAAGCCCAAACAATTGCCCATACAATTCTAGTTGCTTAGTTTTAATGTCATGCATTACTATATGTTTGACTACCATGAATTCACGTATCCTCCCATTTCTTATTCTTCACCATCTCAATATTTCTGCGGATATTTTCCAAAAATCATTTCTACGCCCTTTTTCGTATTTCTTTTAGTGGTCATATCTCACTAGCATATATGCTATATAATATATAATTATTTGACAATCTTTTGTTGGCCAACCACCTACAGCAGAATTAAGCCGAAATACATTATATTCCTATGTTCCGAATTTATTTCGTTCAATCTGTATACTCTTAATGATGGTATTCTATATTCTTTATTGGTTAAATATATTTGGGTTCCAAAGTATATAATTCAATAGTTCTATTGCTTTTTTCCTGAGTATTCCATCAGTTTTCCATCTTTTTGCAATTGCTTTATTAAGTATTTTAACATAAGTGGTATATACAGTCCCAAATATTTTTATTCTTTATATTGACATACTGTGGTTTGAAGCAGTAGATCCTATTACATTTTTCCTAAATATATGCATTTCTCCAGTTCATTTTTTGTATGTCTACTTCTAAGCCGCATATTTTAGATTCATCCAAAATAACAAAGAATAATCCTATTTCAATCCTTTATTTGTAATAAAAGCGATGTCTTGTTTCGTATTTTATACTGAACAGATTTATATATATATATATATATATATATATATATATATATATATATATAAATCCGTATATTAATAACAGAATAACAAGAGTAAACTCGTAAATGCATTGCTTTTATTACCTTGCCACTGATGATTTTTTGACAGTCTCCCAAAGTTTTGTCTCCGGTACGGTGTCGTATGTCTTCTTTAAGTTCACATGTAGGTAGCTCTCTCTATAGCTTCACAACCCTTCGTGGGATATCGCTTCATCTGAGTATTCTTCTTCTTCTTTTTTCCCTCGCTCTACAACTGTGTCTCGGCCGAAATTTATCTTTTCAGTATAATAATCACTTAACTTTTTTTAGGTTGTATGAATTAATGCTATTCCTCTATAGTTCTTACATACATGTTTATCTCCCTTTTTATTGATGGTACTATGTGGGTTTCACGTCATTCTATCAGCATTTCTTCTCTTTGTCATATTTCATTTACAAGATGATGTATTGGTATTTTTTGCCCTGTCTTTGTCTTTGCTCTTTCTTAATAAAATACACACGAATGCCATCTGGGTCCGGGGCTTTGTTATTTCTTAGTGCCAATAGTGCTGCCCTTACTTTCTCTACCGCTGGTAACGCTTTCTGGGTTCTGCTGAGTGGTACTATTTTTGTTCGATTGGTCCACCTACCTTCTTTGACATTTATCGTTAAATTTTCAATGCATATTTTATAATCTTACTTGGTACCCCGATATTTTCCATGGATATCCATACAAAATTCTTTACGGAAATTTATAAACAACTGGTGCACATCTTCATTAAATTCTCAATGCTTTTCCAGTAGTTGCCCACTATGTTATGCTAGCGTGATACCTCTGCAATTCTTGTATACTACTGTCACATTTTTTATGAATGAGATTAATTCTGCCTTCGTTTCATTCCTTCGACAGTTTTTTCGATTCCCATATCTTTTCTACCAACGATTGCACCACATCTTACAGCTGTTCTCCGCCACATGTTCTCTCCGAATTCTGCAGTTCTGTTGGTTATATTGTCACTATAGGGGATTTGTTGTTTCTTAGATATTGATATACCCTTTCTTTATGTTCTTGATCTCCTTGAACTTCTGGCTATTGTTCACTCTCTCGTCTATTTTCATGTCTCTTATTATCTTAGAGACTTCTCTCTATTTCCTTCTCTTTTCACAATTACATTTCTTTCAAAAATATTTAATAAGTGATTAATAAGTATTTTTGATAAATAATAACACTGTACTAACCTCCATTACTATCTTTGTAAATAATAAAAATATTCATAGTTCCTACTTCTGTAAGATAGTGTTCCGGTCCATACAACCACAACACCTGCTGCAAACCTCTTTTCTGAGCATCACTCTGTATTCGAATAGTGGGAGCATAATTTGATCCCAGTTTGCTGCTTCCACAGCCACCTGGCCATGCTCTGGTAAACCTGGGATCAGCGTATAGCCTTACAGAGTCATCCTGTCCATCCGACCAGTAAGATCCTACGGGACATAGGATAACGTACAGGAGGGATGACTCACTTCTAGCTACACCTAAGGTTCCCTGAAAGAAAAAAACCATTAATAGTTTTCGAAATAAAAAAAAAATATTTTTTTGAGCGATATTGGTCCTGATTTAATGTAACACATTTTTGGAAATTGTACCGTGATCCATCTCTACGCGATTCTATTGTAGCGCTACATCCACTTTGAGGACACTGACCTCAGAGCACCTAAACCGATTATACGATGTAGATTTTACTAATTTTTCTCCATATGTTTCTATTATTGGTAATAATAATAATGTCTGCCCTAATAATAATCCAAATATTTATTTGGAACATAATGGAATTGCCTTTCCATCTTCTAAGTAAAGTTCATTGTTTTCAACTCCTATGCACAGTGTTGAATTATATATGTTTTTGTTGAATTACAATTTAGTCCCCATCGCATCTATTATTAGTCACAACAAATAATTCCCTTCGCAGATATAAATCCTGTAGTAACCACTCACTTGGAAGACATTCACACAATAACCAGTGTCTTGGAAATTGTCGATAAAACTTTCTTAAAATACAAAGTAACAATAATAAATACTTACGTCAATAGCAATTAAGGATGGTCTAATATACAAGCTAGCTTTTTCACTATGTGGCACCCATTCTTGGTCGATTTGTACTAGCCTTCTTATACACTTGGTCAATTCATCGCCGTTGAAGGTTGGAAGACCAAGCGTTGAAGCAGATCTATTCATTCTCGCCATATTGAGATTTGGTCTAAACCACCTCAATTTACCGTCCACTCCTCTATATACTTTGGTCCCCTCGAAGAGCTAAAACAAAGAATATTTTGAGTTTTCTATGATCTATTTCCGTAAATATTTTTAATTACTGAAGACTTGTGAAGATCCGATATCAATAAAATGGTTGAGTTAAAGTTTAAAAACTAAAAAAAGTTTCAAGTTTCTTAAAAATAGTAGCAACGAAATTTAAATGCTGCAAAACAAATGCATCAAAACTAAAGATGTACAGAAAAAGGCAACAGCAGAAGTTACTGTTACCAGAGGTTTTCTGTAATTGTGGAAGCAAACGTTTTGTTTATAACGAATATTTGTGGAAAGCTCTTTATCTTCCGACATTCCATTAGCAAAACTGAAGGATGAAAGTTTAAAGTTTTTTCCAGATAAATATACCCAACATTTCATATCAGGTGAATTAACACTTCGCAAAAACTATATACCAGAGTTTACAAGAAGACAAAAAATAAATAAAAAGTAACCGTCAATGATAATTATATTTAAGTTTCATTAGATGAAACAACCAATGAAAGATAATGAGAATCTTGAAAATATAAACTTCAGAACTGTTAATCTTTCGGCAACAGCGACTTTTTACAACAATGCTTTACATTTTTTGTATCCAGAAAGTATTCATTATATCTTTTTATTACTTACACATGTAGCAGCATATAATTTGGAAGCATAAGAGTGACTTACAAGTTTTGTAGCCAAAAATGATACATGCAATTTGACTAATGCAGGGTTTACATCTTGATGTAGAATAAATACAAGGAAAGTTTTTTTTATTTATTTAATGGCTTTGGATAACTTAATCCATTCAGCGACGATAATGCATGTGAATACTTGAGTTTGGTAATGATTTATTGACATATTGCATATGTTAACAAAATAGTACTTCGCCTAGACGCAAATTAAAAGTATATTGTAATAGTATATTATATAACGAGAGTTGTAAGAAGCTTATTACATGCGAGTAAAAAAGTTGCGCGCGAGCCGCGTAGCGGCGAGCGCAGTAATTTTACAAGCATGCAATAAGCTTACAACTCAAGTTGTGTACTATACTTTTTCTACGATAGTTTTCGTTTATAAAAATAAAAATTAAATTACCACTATATTTACACTGACAGATTAATAATTTTAATCTGTCAAAATAACGTCTGTTAATTCGTTTCCATGGTAACTCGACCAACTGACTTACGAGGCTTATGTGATATTACACATTTTTATAAAACTGAAGCGTAATTTTTTTTATTACGTGCTAGTCATTACGTGTCAGTATCTGTTATGATGAATTTACTTAGCATACAAATAGTAGGTAATATACAATTTACTAGTAAGAGAGTAGAAAAACACCAGTATCACAAGAATCGGTAGATTAACAAGAAACTATATTTTCATTCGTTACATTCAGGTCCCTAACCAAGTTAAAGTGAATATTTAGAACCAAAAATGAATTACATAATGTAGGGATACTTTTCACGCTAAGGTGCCTTTCATAGCGACTTAATTACAACACAAGAAAAGCAACGGCTAGGAGGTAAATATATAACATAATCATATACAGAGCGAACAAAGCTAGATTTATATATTCACATTACATATTCCATCTTGAATTTGCTTCAATTTCTTTTCTAAATATAACCAAACAATTTGGTTAATCCTAATATTATGACGAGAGATATATAAAATAGAAGATTGACTCTGAGAAAAAGGTATCTGTTCTTTTTCAGATTCAGATTTCAGATATCAGATTTTCCAATAGATACTTAATAGAAGTATCATTAAATCTGATATTTTTCCCTGCATTATATTTTGAAGTAATGCGTATTTATGTCCTCTCATCAGGTGACCAAAATATTCGAGTTTTCTTCGCTTTAGCGTTAACAAAATCGCTGGGTCTTTTCCTATTCTTCGTATTACTTCACAGTTTGTTATTCTTTCAACCCAACTAATCTTCAGCATTCGACGGTAGCACCACATCTCGAAACTTTCAATATTTTTTATGTTGTTCTGTTTGAGAGTCCAGGCCTCTACACCGTATATATAATAGCGTGTTAAATACATAGCCTCTCAGCATTCTTAATCGTAGAGGGATGCTTATATTTCTGTTGCAGAAGAATTTTCTCATCTTTATAAAGGTGGCCCTGGCAATTTCGATACGTCTTTTTATTTCACTGTTTTGGTCTCCAGTTTCGTTTATTAAAGTTCCCAAGTATTTGTAACTTGATACTTTTTCAACTTGAGTGCCGTTTATACTAATATATGCTGGTTGTGTCATGTTTTTACCGAAGACCATATACTTGGTTTTTTTAATATTGATATTTATACCATAATTGTTTTATACCACAGCGAGACTAAATCACTTCTATTGAGCCAACTAATTTCTAATCCTTTTAAAGCCGCTTCTTTAGCAAAATAATCTGCTTTGTTGTTACCCGAGGTACCAGCATCCAGCATACCCCTTTACCCAAATGAAAGAGACTGAATTATTTATTTTAGGTAACTTATGTTGATTTTCTCAAATTTTAAAGATAATTTTGTATTATATGGGTATGCGATTATATATGTCTAATCTAAAGCGTATAACGCAGATTTTGAATTTAAAAGGATTACTATTTGTTAATCAGATATTTTCTTCTCAATGGTCCATTCCAGAGCTTGATATATTGCAAACAGTTCTGCAGAATAAATGGAACATTGTTGGTTTAATTTAAACATAATGTGTTCTTGATTGTTTTTTATATATACTGCACAACCAACTCCGAAAATGGATTTTGACCCATCTGTGAAAACCCTATACGTATTATCACATTTGGCAAGTTGTTTCTGAAGTTGAATGGCGTTATTATTTGAAGAAATTAGTTTCAGCTGGGAAGTCTAAATAGGAAGAAACATTGGGAAATGCTAGATATAATCAGAGAAATAGTTAGAGAATTTTTGTTATGCCACCATTTGTCAACTAAGTTAGACACAGATATTTTGGATATTTTTCGCAATTCGGAATTTTGCAATGAGGTTCCATACATTCGACTAATAGATTTTCAGTAGGTGCAGATTTAAGTGCACCTAAAACCAAACGCAGTCCTTTGTACTGGATTCGGTCTAATTTTTTAAGTCTAGTATTTGTAGCAGACCAATATAAAAAGCAACCATAGTTAAGAATTAACCTGGTATGTGCCCTATAAAACATAAAGTTATCTTTAGAATCAGCGCCCTACTGGTAACGATTAACTACCTTTAAACATTTAGGTTTTTTTCACATTTAATTCAACAGTTAATAATATAATCTTCCCATGTTAATTTGGTTAAGAAAGTATTCTCTTGCACTGTACATAATCCGATTTGTTGAATCAATATATTTTTGATAATAATTTTTAGAAGTGTAAAGACCGAAATCACCCGCGTATTGTAAAATTTTAGAATTAATATCCATATCATGTAGATCCATAGTATATAGATTAAACAACAGAGGGATAAGCACAAATCTCTCCGGCAAACCTTGATAAACTAACCTTGGACCAATCAATTTATTATTGAACCAAATAAATACTTGTCTATTAACAAATAGATTAATCAATACCTGTGCACATCCAGTTAGGACTCCTATATGTGTTAATTTCTCGAAAAGTAGGTTTAACATAACGTTATGATCCTCCTCCTCCTAAGTGCCTTCTCTATTGAGGTTGGCGATCAATATGGCAAATTTCTCTCTGTTCTGGGCTTGATGGATTAAGTCATTTCCTGTTGTGTAAGTCCAATCTCTGATGTTTCGGAGCCAGGATTTCTTCTTTCTTCCTATACCCCTTTTACCCTCGATTTTGCCTTCTAATATTACCTGGAGCTGCTCAAAATCCTTATGGCGCATTATGTGTCCTAGATATGACGTCTTTCTAATTTTGATTGTATTAACCAGATGAGGTCGTGTGTTCATTATTTCCAGTACCTCTTCATTTGTAGTTTTGCTGGTCCAGCTTATTCTTAGCATTCGGCGGTACATCCACATTTCGAATGAATTCAGTTTGTTGACGTCATACTGTTTTAATGTCCAGGTCTCACAGCCATATAGTAGTAGAGACCACACATAACACTTTAATGTTCCTAACCTTATTTTGATTGATAGCTTGGGGTTACAGAGCATTTTACGCATGTTCATAAAACCAGATCTTGCTATTTCAATACGTCTTCTAATTTCTTTTGAGTGGTCTAGCTGACTGTTTAGCTCTCTGCCCAGGTATATGAAGCTTTGGGAGCTCTGAAGGGTGATACCATCGATTTGTATGTTGGGTGTAATTTGTTCATGGGAGTTCTTGTGGAATACCATAATTTTGGTTTTGGAAAGATTAATATCCAAACCTAGTCTGTGACTTTCTTCTGATAGTATGTTCATCAATATTTTTAGTTGGTTTTCTGTTTCTGCTAATACTACGGTGTCATCGGCATATCTTACATTGTTAATGATGATTCCATTGACTCTGGCACCTTCAGGGCGATCTTCAAGAAAAGCTCTGATGATATTTTCGGCATAGACATTAAATAGAAGAGGGGACAGAATGCACCCTTGACGCACTCCTCGTTCTATGTTTACATAATTGGTATTTCCGTTGTCTGTTCGAACACATCCGGTGTGGTTCCAGTATGTATTGCTTATTATAGCTATGTCGTGTCCGTCCAGCCCTACTTCTTTTAGCACCTCAATCAATTTTTCGTGTCTAATGCGGTCGAAGGCCTTTCTATAATCGACAAAGCACACATACAGCTGTTTTTGAACCTCGAGATACCTTTCTGCCATTAGTGTCAATCCCATTATTGCTTCTCTGGGGTGTGTACCTTTCCTAAAACCGAGAACGATTGAGAACGACTCAGGTATTCTTCACACTTATTGTGAATGCGGTTATAAATTACTCGCATAAAAATCTTAGCAGCATGACTCATTAGGGATACAGTTCGATGGTCTTCACATTTCCTTGCTTTTTGTTTTTTAGGAAGAGCTACATATGTGGATGTTAGCCAGTCATATGGTAGAGTGCCATGTTCATATATAATGTTAAAGAGGTAGGTTAATTTCCCGACAGCATCCCGACAACGTTATCATATACACCCGAAATATCTAGAAATAGTGCTGCTAATAATTATTTGAGTAGGACAATTGGATATCTGTAGTTAATTGTGACAGATAGTTGATGGTTCCTTTATTTCTCCGAAAGCCTAACTGACCTACCAGATATATGCCTTTGTTTTCACACCACCATTCCAATATAGTTTTCAGGATACGCTCAAGTGTTTTTAGTAGACATGACATCAGAGAAATAGGTCTTAAAGAAGTACGATCGTTTATTTTAGTATGGAACATATTGTAGCATATTGCTCAGAGTGCAGAGAGAACAATCCAGGATAAAATTCAAACTTCTGTATTTTGTGCAGAGAATTTTTCTATTTTTTGTTATAACCAAATTTGTGTAGCTTAATATTTGTATTTTAATAAAACATATGTAGGAATTTTGGAAAGCATTTATTTACTAATCAGTGCTAATAAAAGTTAAACAAAGCAGAAAAGGCAAAGTTTTAGATTAATTGCTATATTTTTTTGAAAAATAAAATAAAACGAAAATACAATGTCACAAAGTCATTAAGTAAGAGACAGGTAAACCAACAAAATACTTATGAAAATATTAAAAAATAAAATATTATAATATAAAATAATAAACATATTCTGTGAATGTTATCTGGAATTTGTGGGTCATTTAAATTTTGGTCCTGATAGACCCCACCCTTCCATTGGTGAGATTTTCAGACCACTCGTCTACTGCCGGGTTAATAAATGCAGTTTGTGAAGCAAATATGTGATTATAACAAAACCCTACACAAGTAAAATAGATAATATAGGAAAATAAACACCATAAATAACAACTGTTTACTCTACTTTAACTATTTTAAGATAGAAATCCCACTTACTTCCATAGCATAATGCAGAACTCTTGCTGCAGGGTGTAGCTGGAGATTTTCGAATGGTACGATTTTAGGTTTTTGCCAGCCTCCCAGTTTTTCGTGGTAGTATATTTTCATCATGTGATCAGTAAAGAAATGTCCAAATTTTAACTCACTAACATCCGGTTTCATCCGAAGGCGTCCAGGATCGGCCAGTTTTGTGGTAAGATCCTCATACTAAAAGAAAAAAATAATTAATAATGTAAACTATCGATGGTAAAAACGAGTGGAGTGATTTGTTATATTAAATGGACTAGTCACTACTATTAGGTAGACAGATCTATGTGGAATATCCACGTATTTTTGGGTTTATTGTGCAATTTAACTGTATTTGTATTTTTTGCTTTTTTATTATTGTATTTTATTTAATTTCATATGACTATTTTCTTCATGTTTCTTATATTTCTTATATCGTCTCGGTAACCTGCCAAACGTTTCTCACAAAATGTCTTTAATTCATATTTTATACAGGTAAAGAATATTGTAATATTCTTTTATACTTTTAAATGGCATAGTTTTTATGCCATTTAAAAGTATTTAAATTTAGTTTTACAAGTACATACATACATACATATATATATATATATATATATATATATATATATATATATATATATATATAAATATAGTGTATATAACGATGCTAAGAATACAATTCTTTGGTAGGTAACGTTCGGGAAAGCGTCAAATCAAGGATCGGCTAGAGATGGTATAAGCCAGTTTGGTGTAGAACTTTATTCTAAATGTGAAATTTTCGGTGATAGGCTGTCGCCTTCATCAGCACCTAAATGGAAAACCTATTTAGTACAAGTGGTGGAAATCAACATTTAAAAACCTACATTGAAAATGTTCAGTTGGTCCTCGTGGTGAAGAACACTGTCACAAACATGTTAAAAATATTAAAAAATACATTTAAAATTTTAAATAAAAACATTACAACACATTATATATATATATATATATATATATATTATTATATATTTATATTATATATATATATATATATATATATATATATATAGGGTAAATAAAAACGAACATAGTACTGTTTTACGAAGAAGAGGTTATAACGAGAGATGTGTAGGTATTATCGAATTGAATTTTATGTAAAACGTATACAAAAACATCAATTTTTAAATCTCCAACAAATCTTGTACTAAAATCTCCTTGGTACATATATTTTTCAGTAAGTAGTCTTCATAGTCTTAACTGAGAATATGTTTCTTCATCGACATATTTATGGAAAATTACCGAGTTTGTTTTTCAACTGTTTAGGTCATTGGTCAAAATATGTAGAAATTATCTTTTGTTTTGGTGGAAATGAACTGGAACGCAGAAAGCATGACACATTCACACAGTTTATTCGAGTTATCTCTGCTTAATACAGATATTCTTGAGAAATACGAGTATATTATGTATTTAATGAATTTGATTATTCATTATAAAGCAGCCAATGAGAAAATATAGTAATAAAGTAAAAATTTCATATGGAATTTATTGATCTTTATAAAGCATATGATAGCATACATATATCGAGAAGTTTCATGGTGGAAACCGTATTGTATAATGGTGTATCAACTAGGAAAACTGTAGAGAAGACATAAATTCCGTCAAACACTCTGGTTTCCAATTGTGGAATTTAGCTGATGGATGAATTGAGTAGCTCATCAGCAGGTACCACCGGTCCCAAGCCCAGATGAAGGAGGATGGTAGGGTTAGGTTATCAGTTTACCACATAAAAAAAATTAAAATGCTTAAAGAACTGGTGAAAAGCTTCGGATTAGGACGAGAAACTTGGTAACAACAAATGAGATAAAGAGTATGACGTATTAGAAAACAAAAAATATAATATAGTAACTATTTGGTACATAAAAAGCCTTAATAAGAGAGATCAGGAAATAAAAATGGAGTTAAGAGAATATCAAATAGACATCTGCGACTTGCAGGAAACACAGAGGAAAGGCAAAGGACAAACGATAACAGGAGAATATTTACTAACATATAGTGGGGTTCCAAAACAAAAGAGAGCAAAGGAAGGTATACCAATAATGATCAAAATGAAAGATAATTATTAAATAAAAGGTTGCTGGTATATATCTCAAAAGAATACTTTTGCTAAAGTTGAAGGCGAACAACAAAATTATAAACGTCAGATTGACATATGCACCAGAAGATTACAAACCTGAAAAAGATAAAGATGTATTCTATGATGGGCTCCAAATACAAAGGGAAAACGATGTATAACAAAATTAACTACTCATATTAATGCATGATTTCAATGCCATAATAGGAAACGAAGTAATATCTGCAATAAAACAAAACAAATAAAAGAATCATAAATCAGATCAGATATGGGTACTTTCCATTCTCTGCTCCTGCCTCCTTATTTGTAGTTCTAGATTCTATACTTGGTAATCTCTTCGTTATATTTAACACGCAGATTATTGCTGTTATGTATTGACATAACTATTAGTGTTTGCCTAGTAAGTTTATTAACTAATATAAGATCCGGTCTATTATGTGCCGCTGGTTGGTTTATGAGAGCAGTGCGGTAAGATTTTGAATGGTTTCTTGGATTTGACATCCATATCGACATTTGCCATTTGAATCTAAGGATCTTTGACAATACATTGCAGGTAATTTTTAGTTGGAATATACTGATTCTGAATGGCAAGTAAGAAACCCTCTGTCTCGGTTAATTGGGATAACTGAAGTTTCGATATTGTTTTTACGGGGTAATTGAAGGTGAATTTTAGTCTGCTACTCCGTCATTATATATTTTAAAAAGGTCACTATGTTATCATCGAATTTATATATTTTCAATATATCTATAAGCCATTCATGTGGCACTGAATCAAAGGCCTTCTTGTAGTCAATGAAGGCAGTAAAAAGGTTGCCTTTTTTGGTATATGCCTGGATATAAATGACTCGAAGTCGATTATAAGTTGTTCTTTGTAGTCCATGGAACTCTTAGCGCATCCTTTTTGTTGTGGCTCTGCAATATGATTTAGAGTACAGTATTAGTAGATATGCTAGGCTACACAGACTGTGACCAAATTATACAAAGTTAAAAGATAAATAATTAGGCGATACCGGGTTGGATCTTGAGTGTTATTTTGCTCCTTTGATTTTAAATAAGTTGTTTCCTGAGAAATGGCATGATTAATTAATGCTGATAGGCACTCGTGAATACCATAAAACTTCTTTAGCCAGAAGTTTTGAACTCCGTCTGATCCAGTAGACTTCCAATTATAAAGCTCTTTGATAATGTTTGAGCCTTCATTGGTGAAGGGTTCTTAAGGAATATTACTGTAGTTTTGACAGTTGTTCCTCGTATCTTCAATCTATCCAGAGGAATTGAGTTTCCTATAGAACACTTTCTCTGAACGCTCAAACAGTGTGTTGTCGTATTTTCGGTTGTTATTAACTTTGTATCTCCGTGAGTGGCCTGAATAAATGGCGAGTTTTTGTTTAATGTATTCAGGCATTGTTGAGCTGCGTATTTTCTGGATCATGTTGTGAGTGTCTTAAAGTGTCCAGAATTATTTGTTCAGCTGTTTTGATTAATTTTCTACTTTCTACTTCTCGAACGCATTTCATAATTTGTCCAATATCCCTAAGCAATAACTCAATCTTCCTCAGAAGTCGTTTTTCCTAGAATGCAATTTTGTTGTGAGTCCTTCCATTATTAGTACCTCGTTGTGTTCTCATACTATTTTATTTTATTTTATTAATATTATATTTTTTATTGCAATATCGAGTATAATCTAAATTGATAATGTAACTCTATAATGATAATTAGATACTAACACCTACAAGATAAACCAACAATGGAAAACATTAAAAAACTGCCTCCCCGTTCCATGTAAATAGTTATTAAAAGAATGATAAGAAAGAGAGACAACTGGATAACCGACGAAATACTCGGCAGCATGGACTAAAGAAGACAAGCCAAGAAAAAAGGCAGTCACAATTACAAAATCATTCACAATGACATCATAAAAATGGTAAGAGTGGCAAAACAAACTTACTATGAGGAAAAATGTAAAGAGATAGAAGATCTTCAGAACAAATACGACCTATTCGACCTAATTAAAATATTAAAGAAATGGCAAGGTTGCAAAAAAGAAACCACAACATAACTCTTTTAGATAAAAATGGAAATACTATGATAACGACTGACGAAAAGCTAAAACGATGGAAAGAATATATGGAAGAGCTCTTCGACGACGAAAAAGGAAACCTACAAGACGTATCCTTGGAGGACAGAGAAACAAGTATAGAAATTAGAAAGGAAGAAATATTGTATGCACTAAAGAACACCAGAAACGGAAAAAGCCCGGAGCCAGATCAACGGTCTATTGATATCTTTAAAATAATAAAAAATTATTACACTGATGTCCTCTTAAAGCTCCTTAATGAAATTGATCAGTCGGGTGACATACCCAATGAATGGTGGACTTCAACAATTATTTTTCTCCCAAAAAGAAAAATGCTAGAGAAAGCACTGACCACCGCACCATAAGCCTGATGTCTCACACACTTAAAATGTTTTCAAAGATCATCCATAAACGCATTTAACAAATACTTGATACGGATATTGAAGAATCCCAATTTGGATTCCGTAGAGGCGTAGGTACCCGTGAAGCTCTCTTTGAATTCAAAGTACTAATCCAGAGATGCTTGGATATGAACCAAAATATGTACGTCTGTTTCATAAATTACAACAAGGCTTTCGATAAAAATCCGCCACAAAGAGCTAATGGAATTTCTCAAAGTAAAACAATTACAGTACAATGACCTTTGAATTATAACAAAGGCACGCATACGCATTAATGAACACATATCAGAAGAGTTCGAAATTAAAAGAGGAGTTCGACAGGGGTGTTTATTGTCACCACTACTATTCAATGCATACTCTGAAGAAATTATGAAAAGAGCTCTTGAGAGAGTAACAAAAATAGGAATAAAGTTCAATGGAACAACAATTGACAACATTAGAATGCCGACAATACTATCATAATAGCAGACAACCTCCAAAACCTCCAAAAGCTAATGAACAAGATAGTTGAGTATGGGGAAAAATATGGATTATCAATAAACACCAAGAAAACTAAATTTATGAGGATTTTAAAAACCCAAAATAATGATGAAAGCCTGGCAATTAACGGTAAAACTTTAAAACAAGTTAAAAACTACAATTATCTTTACACAATAATTAATCACACAAACGATTACTCCAAAAGAAATCAAAGTTCGAATAGAGAAAGCACGAACAAACTTCAATAAAATGAGAAAAGTACTTTGTGCAAGAGAACTGAAACTAGACTTGCGAGTTAGGCTGGCATAGGTGTTGTATTGTTTCGACTGTGTTTTACGGGATAGAAGCATGGACGCTTAACGTGTCGACTACTAAAAAGTTGGAAACATTTGAACTATGGGTGTATAGACGAATCCTGAAGATATTATGGACCGAGAATGTGACAACAACGAGGCCATGAGAAGAGTAAACAAAAGAATGGAAATATTGGAAACCATCAAGACACGAAAGCTGAAATAGGTGGGGCATGTTATGCGTAATGAAAGATACAACATACTTCAATTAATTATACAAGGGAAAATCCAGGGCAAGAGAAGTGTAATACCACTCCAGTAATATTCAAGTGTTTCGATCAATAGTGGATGAATATACATTTCTTCATATTATCATAATCAACATTCACAAATACAACGTGACTATGCCAAAATTATGTGATCTATGAATCAATTCTGCAAAAAATTATCATACACGCTTCTATTCCAATTCTAACTTGAATACGTAATTTTTTCAAAAAATTTTACTGTTATTATCCTAGTTTAATAACCCATTGTTACCAAAAAAAAACTTAATGTATACAAGGCCGCACTGTGACGTCAGCGGAAGGTATGATAAATTGACTTATTTTTACAAAAATCGTAAAGTTATGTATCATTATTTAATTAACTAAATTAAAACCAAATTTAAATTAAGTGATTTTTTAATCCATATAATTACCCTCTAAATACTCGTACAAGTTTTATCGACAAGAGTAGGTGTAACACAATGGGGAGACCAAGTCCAACAATACGAGTATTAATAATATATAAAGTAAATATAACGAATGAACACAATTTAGATTAATTAGTTTAATAAGTACTGTATTATAATAAAAGTTTCAGAAATTGCGAATTTCTATGTTTTTCTATGTTTTATCTATTACCAAAAAGGCATTTTTTTAAAGCCCTTTCCTCTATTCGGATAGCCGAATATAGACTTCTCCTAATTCATAGACCTCTCCTAATTCTCGCCATTCATCCCTGTTGTTTGTAAGACATATGTCATTTGAGAAAGGAGATAGAAAACGATGCGAAAACTACAGAGGCATAAGCGTAATATCATCAATAGGAAGATTATATGGGAAGATACTGCGAGAAAAGATAGAGCAAGTGATAAAAGGTGAAATCGGGGAGGATCAGGCAGGCTTCACGGCAGAATGATCATGCATAGACCACATATACACACTGTAACAACTGTTGGAATAAAAAAAGAAAAACATAGAGATATATATTTGACATTTGTGGACCTGAGAAATGCGTATGACTCTGTACCAAGGTCAGAACTATGGGAGGCAATGTACAAATTACAAAATACAGACGGAACTCATAGAAGCTACAAAAGCTCTGTATAAAGAAAATAAAGTGTCCATTAAAGTGGGAACAAGAATCATAGGAGACTTCACCACAACAAAAGGGCTCCTTCAGGGTTGTTCCACATCTCCAACCTTATTCAAAATATACTTAAAGAAAGCCTTGACTACATGGAAAAGAAAATGCAAAGGCATGGGAGTATTGGTACGGAACGAATACCTATATACGTTAAGCTTTGCAGATGATCAAGTAGTGATTGCACAAGACCAAGACGACCTCAGCTACATGGTGAAGAAACTACAAGAAGAATATACCAAGGCTGGTCTAGATACTAACCTCGCGAAAACAGAGTACCTATCTACAAGTGAAGAAGACATAGAAGATCTACAGATTGATAGGATAAATTAAAATACTTGGGGTTTAAAATCACGAATGGGCAAAATTGGGGTGTATATACCAGATAATAAGTATAGATTTAATCCTCCTTATTTTGATAGATATCGAGCAGCTGGTCATTTTAGCGCCAATGTATGGGAACGGATTTCATCTAGAGGAATGGGAATGATATGGTGTATTGACGGCAGGTTTGTTGGCCATATTTATCTTAATATTCTAGAAAACATCATATTTCCCAGTTTAGAACAGTGTATTCAGTAACAATCATCAAGATAATTGTCCTGTTCACACTGCAAATATAATAAACCAGTGGCTTCAGAATAACAACATCGAAACCTTAATGGCCTAGCTACACTCCAGATTTATGCCTAATCGAGAATTTATATGAGCGTATCGTTGGTATTTTCTAAAAAGGTAAAGTGGAGATATGTTATGACTTTAAGAGTTTTTTATCGTGTTATATTTATTATTTAAATCAGATTGAAATATATTTTATTTAGGTTCTGTGTATATTTTTTGTCATTGATTGCGTTGGTATATCTTTTTATTTCTATTGATTCGCATATCTCTCTCTTCTTTTTGTTTTGTTTGGTTTTTAAAATTTTGATGTTTTCGAAGTCAAATTTATGCTTTTTCTCATTTATATGTTTTGTGATCGCAGTAATGTTGTCCTTGTCATATTTGTGAGAACGAATTCTGGATTGAAGCAGTTGACTGGTTTGCCCGATATAGACACCTTCACACTTAATACATGGTACCTCGTAAACAACATGTGATCTTTTGAGTTCCATTGCAGGTTTTCTTGGAGTTAATTTTCTTTTTTAAATCTTGTTCTGAAACTTATAAAGTTTACTGATCGGACCTCACGAAGCTGTGGTGACAGTTCCTTAACAATTTCGATATAATGAAGTAGTTGGATATTATTGCATACGAGAAATAAGTAGTTGCAAGACAAAGTTAATGTGGATCGAAATGCGAACGAGATTAGTGTAGAAAATTGGCAACGGTTGACAATGGACAGGAACGACTGGCGAAATACATTAGAGAAAGTTAAGGCTCAACTAGGGCTGTATCAGCACTGATGATGATAATGATAGACTTCTTCTTCAAGTTCCACTCCTATCGGAGATTGGAAATCATTCTGGCAGTTATAATTTTATTGGTTACTCGCCTGAATAGTTTAATTGAACTGCATCCAAACCATTCACGGAGATTGCGTAGCCACGAGATTTTACGTCTTCCTACGCTTCTTCTACCTTTGATTTTACCCTGCATTATATTCCTTAGTAGTTCGTACTTTTCACCTCTCATGATGTGCCCCAAGTATTCCAATTTCCTGATTTTTATGGAATTTAAAACTTCGCATTGTTTTCCTAATTGTTCGAGAACTTGTTCGTTTGTTTTGCGATCCATCCATGATATTTTCAAAATACGTCGGTAACACCACATTTCGAATGCTTCTAGGTTTTTAATGTTGGATTTTTTATGTGTCCAAGCTTCAACTCCATACAAAAGGGTAGAGAAAATATAACCTCGAAGCATTCTTATCCGGAGCGATATGTTGATATCGCGATTACAAAAAAGTTTTCTCATTCTATTAAAAATTGACCGCGCAATTTCAATGCGGCATCTTATTTCTTTTGTCTGATCAGTATCTTCTGTGATCCATGCTCCAAGGTATTTGTACAAAGATATTTGTTCAATTTCTGTATTATCTAGTACTAGCTTAACTTTGATGTTTTGTGCTTTTGTAAATGCCATGAACTTGGTTTTCTTCAAATTGATTTAGTCCATTGATATAGTCCATAATCGTTGCAATATATATTTAGTTGTTCAGCAAGGTGTTGCAGTTCTTCTAGTGTTCCTGCCAGAAGGACGGTGTCGTCAGCATATCTTTATGTTATTAAGTGACTCACCGTTTATTATAAGGCCCTCACTGATCTCGGCAAGCGCTAATTCTGAGATGGCTTCACTGTATAAATTGAATAACAAGGGTGATAAAATACACCCTTGGTGGACACCACGGCGAATCTGGATATGCTTGGTCAGTTCGTTCTCAACTTTCACTTTTGCTGTTTGATTCCAATAGAGGTTACAGATGATTCTAATGTCTCTACTGTCTATGTTTTTATTTAATAAAATTTCGATTATGCTGCACTCTGTCAAATGCCTTCTCAAAATCCTTACTACTTCCTTACTACTTCCTTACTTAAATACTTCCTGATTAATATCTAAGCATCTTTGCGAAAGAACACTTAATGCAAACAGTGCATCTCGTGTTCCCAGTCTTTTCCTAAATCCCATTTGTGTATTACTTATGCCTTCATCTAATTTCTTATGTATTCTATTGTGAATTACTTTTAAAAACAAATTCAAGACATGACTCATTAAGGCTATGGTGCGATGTTCATTGCACTCCTTTGCATTGGCTTTTTTGGGAAACAGTATGAATGTTGATTGGAGCCATTCTTTAGGTATTATACCTGTTCTATATATGGTATTGAATAGATCCAAAAGAAGATCAATAGATTCAGTATTTACAATTTTAAGTAATTCGATAGGAACTTCATCAGGCCCGGGAGATTTACCACCTTTAGCTTGTTTCATTGCATATTCAATTTCTTCTCGTATAATGTCAGGCCCAGTATCATCCATGATAGACTAGAAACTAGAAAATAAATAGTGAAATAAAACTTCTCTTACCTTAAACGTTACTTCTGAGGATTCTGTCTCGTACCGGTCGTTAGAAATTTCGTCCAACTGGGGAGCTTCTTTGACTTGTAAGGAACAGGCTCTTACCGCCTGCTTTAGCTTGTGTTGGTGTTTTAAAATCCACCTGCATACGTTCTGCAACAGAAAATTATTTCAAACTATTGAAGATATTGTTATCTGTGTATGATTATTATAAATAGTATAGAAAGAAAATTAATTTCGAGATAATTATAATAACTGTCACTTATATATTTTATGGTATATTTTAATTAGGCTTAAAGAATATATCTTATATTAACAATTATTTTGAAATATTCTTCTAACATAATACAAACAATAAAAGACAATAATATAATCATAACTATATAAACATGCAATGGTTTTTCCAAAAACCAAAATTATTCAACGCGGAGTCAAACCAGGAAACCCACAGAAATCACATATAGCTCCCGCGGACACCTCAAATCCAATTGCCTTGATCGGGTTTATTGGGTATTATTTATTATACCGGGTATTATTTCCATAATGCCCAATAATTTCTATCTATTGGTCCAGATTAAAATTAGATGTGGAGTGAGCAGGGATGCGTATTGTCGCCAATTCTTTTTAATGCCTACTCCGAAGAGATCCTGAACAACGCTCTTGAGGGTGAAACAGCTGGAATAAAGGTAAATGGAGTTCCCATTGACAATATTAGATATGCGGAAGATACTGTGATCTTAGCCGAAAACATTGAAGATCTTCAGAGAAAATGGTGACCAGAATAGTCGAGTATGGAAAAGAGTATGGTCTAACAATGAATGTCAAGAAGACGAAATTTATGAGAATATCGAAAACTCAAAGAAATAATGAGAATCTTCTAATAAATGGAACCAACGTCGAACAAGTGGACAAATATGCATATCTGGGAACAATGATTAACTCCACAAATGATTTCATTCAGGATATAAAAATATGAATAAAAAAGGCTAGAGCAAATTTTAACAAAATGAGAAGAGCGCTATATACCAGGGATTTAAAACTGGAAATAAGAGTTAGGTTGGCGAGATGCTGTGTTTTTTCAACTTTATTTTATGGAATGGAATCTTGGACCTTAAATGCGACATCAATGAAAAAAACTGGAATTATTGGAGCTGTGGGTGTATAGAAGAATTCTGAAAATATCGTGGACAGAATACGTCACAAACAAAGAGGTTCTGAGAAGGATGAATAAAGAAATGGAAATTTTAAATACAATCAAAACAAGAAAATTAGAATATCTCGGACATATTATACATGGAGACAAATACACCTTGCTCCAACTGATTATGCAGGAAAAGATCCAAAGAAAGAGAAGCATAGGGAGGCGTAGTATGTCATGGCTGCGCAACCTGAGACAGTGGTACCGATGTACATCAAATGAACTTTTCAGAGTAGCCGTCTCAAAAGTCCGAATAGCTATGATGATTGCCGACTTACACTACGAAGATAGCACTTGAAGAAGAAGATTGGTCCGGTGGTACATTTTTTCGAATTCTATGAATGCAAAACGCATTGTTATGTTAAATTCCCTATATATTTATCCCTTTATAATATATTATTCCCTATATAATTCCCTTATATTTAAGGGCAGCAACAGAAAAATCAATAGAGGGAGGTCAAAGCTTACAAAAAAGGCACAAAATACTGAATAGAACCAAAAGCAAAGTATCTAGTAAATAAATAATATATGGAAATTAATTTTTATAATCATACTTTGTTGTACACAACACAAAAAATGTAATTTATAATTAATTTACTTAATTGGTTTTCAAATGGCTTATTCAAATTGCTATAATCAAATTAATAATTTTATTAGATCTACATAAAAACGTTGAAAAATATACGATATAAATAGTATTTTTAAAAGTTTTAAATTACTCTTGACCTAATACTACTACCTTGATTGTTTTTTTTTTTATTAAACCTAATTTACCAGAGAACTATGGATAAGTATATGTTTATATGGAATTATTTAGGTCCTGTGGGGCGAAATAACACTAAAGACTCACATTATACTAATTATTTTTAATAGAACTAAATAATAAAGTATAGTTCTGAAGCTATTTTCTTGTAGCATCGTAAAGTAATTACTATTTTAATGAGAATAAGCCACAATTGAAGTTTAAAATAAGTTTATTGACGTTTCAATTTCCACTTCGGAAAACAACGCATTAATGCATATTTTCTAAAAGAAATACATATTTAATGCATATTTTCTAAAATAAATGCATATTTAATGCATATTTTCTAAAAGGAATGCATATTTAATGCATATTTTTAAGTAAATTAGTGGATAATTATGCGCATATTTTTAATTTTTTGCATATTTGCCTAAGTCTACTCATAAGTATACGTATGTTTAATCCACAAGAAATATTAGAACAATTATTGATTATTCTAAACATAAACAAACATCAAATCTTAAAACTAATAATGTGAGTGTATATAGAGGGTCGGAATGTGGATCAGACCATCACCTACTAGTAGCTTAGGTATTATTCAATTACAAACATCAAATCAAAGTCTTTGACAGAGTCTGGCATGAAGGACTGAGATATACAATAAAAATTAATGGATACAGCGGAGCCATGACAGGACTAATCTTATCGTACTTGAGCGACCAAAGCTTCAGGGTTCGGATAGGACAAGTTCTGTCCGAGCACTCTCCGCAGTACCAGAGGGAGCGGTACTGTCACCTCTACTGTATACAATATACGCTGCCGATGTTCCAAGAACATCAGAAACACTACTCAGTATTTATGCAGATGACACAGCAATTGCGGTTAAACACATAAACATTAATGTAGCTATAAATAAGTTACACACAGCATTCCATAGCATAAAAGAATGTAGTATCCAAAGGATAGGTGATTATGGTTTAGGAATAAGGAATGCTAGTGGTGACAGATTGGCTCAATTTTGTCAAAAAGAAAACCTGGCGATTATGAACACATGGTTTCGATTACCACCCCGTAGACCGTATACCTGGAGGTCACCACAGGATAATGAACAAAATTGCATTATAAATCAGATCGACTTTATTTTAACCAATCTAAGATTTAGAAATTCCATTGTAAGGGTTAAGAATTTTCCTGGAGCAGCTGTCCCGTCAGACCATAACCTCCTTGTCTGAAAAATTTAACTGAGGGTAAAAAAGATAATAAAATCCAAAAGTTTCACCAGTTATTCAAGATAAATGAAATCAGATAACATCAGAAATAAAAAACCCTGAGAATGTAAACATTATGTGGAACAAAATCAAAGATTATTTTATAAAAACACAGAAAGAAATTCTACAATGGAAAACAGAAAGCCGAAAACCTTGAATGACTCAAGAAATACTGGAAATCAAAAAACAAAGAAGAAAAATATAGAAACAAAAACCCAAATAAGTACAGAGAAAAATAAATTAAGAAGGAACAAAATAAAAGAGGTTAAGGAAAAAAGGATGATGGAAACATATATCGAAGTGGAAGAATTGCAGAAAAAGCATGATCTTTATAATTTACACAAAAAACTGAAAGAATTATCTAGAAAATCACGAACAAATACACCTAACGGATTAATTGACAAAAACAGTAAACCTATTAATAACCCAATTGAAATAAAATAAGTATGGACTAAATATATTGAAGATCTTTTCATGGACACTAGAACGAAAGCAACACAAATTGATAATAAGGAAGCTTCAATTATATTAAAATCTGAAGCCCAACATGCTATAAACAACTCAAAATCTGGCAGAGCCCCTGGGCCAGATGATGTTCGTATCGAGCTGATTAAACTTATAGACGAAGACAATTTAAGTGTAATAACTATACTCTTTAACAATATATACAAATCTGGTGACATACCTACAAAATGGCTGCTATCGATCTTTGTTCCGCTACCAAAAACCAAGAACCCCAAACACTGTAATGACTATGGATTAATCAGCTTAATGTTATACTTATTAAAAACATTTTTAAAGATTATACATGCAAGAATATTCAGAAAGTATGAAGAGGATATGAGTCATAGACAGTTTGGCTTTCGTAACGGCTTCGGAACAGTGGAAGCTCCGGATAGTTTCACAACTCTTGCCCAAAAATGTCGAGACCAACAAAAAGTTAACCATAACCTTCTCATGGAATGTCTAAAGAGAAAAGGACTCGACAAAAATGGCATTAACATAGTGAGAAATCTCTATTGGAACCAATAAGCTGTGGTAACATTAGATGGAAATAGCATGGATGCGCAACAGATAAGTAGAGGAGTGAGACAGGGCTGCGTACTTTCACCATTACTATTTAATATATATTCCGAAGAGTTATTTACGCAAGCAGATGAAAACTGTACAGAAGGGATCAAGATAAATGGGGAAAATATAAATAACATTCGGTATGCTGACGATACAGTCATTATCGCTGAAAGTGAGACAAACCTGCAGACGTTACTAAACACAACTTGTGATACTGGGGAACAGTTTGGTTTAACAATAAACATAAAGATTACATAAACCATAGTTATCAGTAAGATATTGAGCAAGTGGACAAAATGAAATACTTGTGAGTCTGGATTACGGAAGATCTGAATCCGAAATGAGAAATTCGCTCAAGAATAGAGCAATCAAGAGGAGCCTTTTTGAAGATGAGGAAATTTTTGAGTTACCAAAGACTCAATCTGCAAATCCGATATCAGATAGTAAAATGTTATATACACTCTATTCTTCTTTATCTTGTCGAAGCCTGGACTGTTAATGTTGACTTAATCAGAAAACTGGAAGCTTTTGAGAGAGATCGATCATATTACGAACGAAATGGTGTTGCACAGAATTGGAAGAGGCAGAGAAGTTTTACCACCATTAAAAAGCGAAATACAGCATATTTGGGGCACATTCTTAGAAATGATAAGTACGAAAATTATCTGGTAGACGAAAAATATCCTGGCTAAAAAAAATTCGCGACTAGACCGGATTAAACACACAGACGCTCTTAAGAAAAGCAGAAGATAGAGACGAATTTGCAATGGTTATAGCCAACCTTCATTAGTGGAGACGGTACTAGAAGAAGAAGATCCAAAGGAAAATAGCCATCAACTCAGAAACACAATGTAAACAGTTATGTTTAAAAAGA